CGGCGGCGGCGGCGGTGGCCCGCGGTACAGCCTGCTGGCCGAGATCGGCCGCGGCGCCTACGGCGTGGTGTACGAGGCGGTGTCGGGCCGCAGCGGCGCCCGGCTGGCGGTGAAGCGGATCCGCTGCGACGCTCCCGAGAACGTGGAGCTGGCGCTGGCCGAGTTCTGGGCCCTGACGAGCCTCCGGCGGCAGCACCCCAACGTGGTGCGGTTCGAGGAGTGCGTTCTGCAGCGGCACGGCCTGGGGCAGCGCATGAGCCACGGCAACAAGCGCAGCCAGCTCTACCTGCGCCTCGTCGAGACCTCCCTCAAAGGTACCGGCACCCCCGGGGCATCCCCGGCACGGCCCCAGCGCCCTCGGGGGCACCTCCCGGGCTGCCCTCCCGCACCCAGGGCCTCCACGGTCCCTGTCCCTGRCACCCGTGCCACAGTGCCACCAATCCCTGCCCCTGAGCACCTGGTTCTGCTATCAATGCCCCCCACACCCACATCCTCCTGCCCCACCCCCCTGAGCAGGTGACCGCTGGGATGCCCCACGCTGGACACCCTGGTGTTGTCTCCCTTCCCCAACACCGGCACCTCTGGCTCTGCTGCTGCCYTCCCTTGCTCTCACCATTGTTCAAATCCTTCCTGGGCATTGCCTGCTTTCAGGAGCACCCAAAGCTCCCCTCAGCTTTCACTATACCACTCTCTCCACCTTGACTCACTGCTTTTTCAGCATAASCACCCCTGGACTCTCCCTGCTGTGCCCCTGGGTACCTCATTATCCCTGAGGTTCCCTCAGCAAGTTTGTCTCCATCACTCAACTCTGTCCGGTCCCTGCAGGGCTCTCCCACAGGGTCCCTCTGCTTCCCCTCTTTGCTGCCACCCACCCTGCACTGACCTGGGGGACCCTCTTCTGGACCCTGTCCCCTGTGCTGTGCCATCCTCTCCACTCTCCCTTTCCTGTGGGCTGCTCACATGAATGCCATTCCCTGTACCCCACCCACGTCTCACAGCCGTGCCCATGGGGTCCCTCCGTGTGCCCTGCAGCACCCTGGCCCCATGCCCCTCCTCATGAGGGACCCTATTGTCACCTCTAGGCTCAGACCTAGTCCTGGGGGACATCCCTGTGTGCAGCCCCCGCYCTTTCCTGCACCTCCTGCCAGCACTGACCTCCTTCTCCCTTATACYCCAAATCCTGGAGCTCCATCTGCTMCCCTGACCTGTGCCGTAGCCCACACACATTCTTTGGGGACCTCCACAGCCTCTGCCCCAGTCACAGCAAGGGGATGTCCTCCCCTTCTGCGTGATGCACTGTCCCATTTCTGAGCAGCCCAAGGCTGCAGCCTGTTACGGCTCAAGCTCTCACAGCTTTAGGACTGTCCCCAAGTCCCCCCTATTGCCGACTCTGTGGGAACAGCCCTGAAAGCACCAATACCTGTAGGCTGAGCTGATACCCCATTTTTCCCTGGGGTCTGTCAGCAGCATCACGGGGCTGTCAGGGGTCACCTTCTCTTGTCAYAGCCAATGGCTGTGATGGTGACATCTCCAAAATGCTCCCTCCCTCTGCTCCCTTGGCTGCTTGTCAGACCCAGCTTTGCCAGTGTGCCATGAAGATGTGGAAAATACCAGAGACACGTGCCCTCAATGCCCCTGAGCCCCCCAGCCTGCTGTGGGCAGAGCCAACTCACTCCAATCCTTCCTACCCYAAATTTGTGTGCCAGGACTCCTGTCAGCTCCTTGGGGGAGCTCAGTCTCCCCAGTGCCAGGCACAGAGTTCATGTGAGGCTCCCAAGATGCATCCTCTGAGCAAACCTGTGGCTCTGACTGTCCCTGCCTTGCCTGTCCCCTCTGTATCCGTGAAGGGGGGAACATGTCCAGACCTGTTTGGCTCTCCCCATACATCCCAGCTCCTGCTCTTCCTTCACACAACCACCCAAGGGAGGCTCCCTGAGAAGGGCAGTGTCCAMATTCCTGTACAGCTGGGGCACACAGCTTCCCGGGAGAGGAGCCAGCACTTTCCTGTGGGTGTGTGTCCAGCTGTAGCAGGTAYGGGGGTCCTGCCCTTCTCTCTCATGTTGCACACCCCGAGGAAAGGTGGCTTGGCTTGGGGAAAGCTCKTGGGTAGCTGGAGGTGCCCCATCTCCACGTGGGGAAGGAGACCCATAGATGCCCCATCTCTAGGTGGGGGTTGAGCCTCCTGAATTCTCAGCTGTGGTGAGGGCTTTGCCTGCCCTGCTGCAGCCCCCTAGAKGGGAGCAGAGCTGGGCTCTCCATCCCCAGCCCAGACAGGAGCAGTTTGACTCCCAAAATCAAACTGGAGCACATCCTCCCGTCCATCTGCCTGGCTGCCCTGGGGGCTGTGTTGTGCCGGGCAGCCTGTGCTTGCTATTTTCCCAAGCCTTGGGTTTAATAGACACAGATAAATATTTTCAAAACAAAAGCWGGAGCTGGATGAGCCCCACAGGTCTCCTGCTCTCCTCCCCTGCCTGAGCTGTGGCCGTGGCCATGGAGCTGTGCTGCCGTGCCATTCTGCACGACCGCAGCTGGGCTATTTACGGGCCAGCGCAGATGCTGTGCCAACGTGCCGGGGCTCAGGGCACGGCGAGGATTAATCTGAGACTTTCTGAAATGGGAGCACAACTGTCGGGATAGCAGGCGGGGTTTGGTCTCAGCTACGGCGCAGAGCCTGAACCTTTATCATTTTAACGAGATGTGGAGTAATTTAAGGGCAAGGTGTGAAAAGGAAGGTGAAAGCTCGGCGCTGGGCTGGAGGAGGGGCACATAACCRTGCAGTGGCTTGGAGCCCTGACACAGGAGCACCTCCAGGGCTTGTGCACACCTCGTGCATCTCATGCTTCTAACCTAGAGCAGTGACAGAGGTTCCTTAAGTGAACAGGTACAAGGTGTTGCTTCCAGTTCCTCCTATGTCATTTGTGGGGCCAYCAACCTGCCTCCAGCATTCAGCCTCACTCATGGGCTGCCCTGGGTGTCACCCACATGTGTTGCCATTGTTCCAAGCACATGGAATTCCATGCTGCCAGCTTCCATTTCTCCAGTGCTGCCTTCTTGCACAGAGGGAGTCGGAGGTTACATGTGGTGGTGGGCACTGGGATGCTGCTTCTGCTCTCACTAGATTTTTATTTCCCTGTGAAGCCAAGCAAATTAGCACACTGCTAATGAGCTCCCAGGATGGGGGAGGGGGCCTRCTGGAAGGATGGAGTGTGAGTGTGTGCCATCCTGTGTTTGGGCAGGGAGCACATGGGGATGCTGGCTTGGTGATAGAGAACAGGTCCAGCCTGTCATTGGCATCTCCTCAGCTCTTGACTGCTTGTCTTCAGTTTGCTAACATCTCATCTTTAGGGAGCGTCTTGCCAGCTCTTTATGTTTAAAGCTGTTTGTTTTGAAGGCAGGAAGATGATTTAACAACTAAAGCACTTTCAGATTATAGAAAGAAAATGAGGAAATATTACTTTTGGCTTAAGCCTCTTCTCACAGCGCTCCACCCAGAGCAAAGTGCCTGGTGCTCACAGCTACTGCTAGAACCCCATCTTCTTTCCTGTGCTTGCTGAGGTTCAGGGGCCAAGTTTTAAATCAGAGCCTTCCTTATGCTAAAAACAAACCTTGCTTGTCAGAGCTGACAGGTCCTGGCCACTGCTCAGCCAGCATATGAGCCACTTCCTGCAGGAAGGGGCTGCCGGCAGCGCTGTGTGGATGCTCCCACCTGGCTGTGTGTGAGGGATATGGGGCTCTGCCGTGCTCCCTGTCATGTTTGATTCCTGGCAGAGAAGARCCAGACCCTCCTGCTCCCCATTTTAGGGTTGTATGGCTGCAGAGGGGAGAAGGAAGGCCAAGCCCTGTGTCCTGCTGTGATGTCACTGGGGTTTAACAAATCGCAGTGGTGGCAGCCGTGTGAGCTGGGGCTGTCCTGGCTGTCCCGAGGTCTCAGCTCCCAGAACAAGCAGMCTCTCCTTCAGTTTCCAGACTGTCATGCCAAAGGTGGTTGCACCAGAGAAGCTGCTTTTCCTGGTCAGCATTTTGGTCTCCAGAGCCAAGCTGTCCTGTGATGCTCCCAKCTGGCCCTTGGGCTTTCATGCTGAGCCCCCCTCCAGCCAAATGAGACCCCGAAAGTGCACCCAGTGCCCTGTGTATCTCCACCCTGTTCTTTCATACCCCAGATCTAACCTTCTGACCATATCTCAGCAAAAGATTGCTGAGGGTAGGGAGGTGCAGCCAAATCCTTCTGTTGTGCAGATTTCCATTTCCATAGCAGTAGCCATGGCTACAGACTGTTTGTGCAAATAACCAATATTCCCACCCACACCGATTGCTGACCAGTCCAGCCCAGGGCTGGGTGTCCCTGGTAGTCCTTGGCTTTACCTGCTGCTGGAAGTTTTTTGCTTTCCCAGATGCTCTCTAGGGCTTTGCTTAAACAAAACCCAACTTTGTCAAGTGGGTGGAGTTATTTAACTGCTTCCAAAAACACTTGAGTTCGGCTGTGGGACTTTTTAACTGTGGCAGAGGTGAGTGGTATCCCCCAGCTTTTCCCTTATGGTGCTTGAGAATAAAAAAAAATTGTTTCTAGGGCAAACTGATGCTCTAGTTGTGTGTGCAGGCTTTGTCAGTCACCTGGGTGCTCTCTGAGGAGACTTGGGGTCTGACAATTAGGTTGGCACTCCTGGCACTCCAGCTAACAGGGATGGATCTGCTGCCAGTGCTCCCTAGGGCATCCTGGCATCCCTGGGGAGCCCCAGTAGCAGATCTGGGCCCATTAGCTGATATGATGCTGTTGTGTTCTCCACATGTCTAAYGGATGTGCAAGAGAGTCCTTTCCTAGGCAGGAGGTTTATAGAGTAAAGCCTCTCTAAGATACTCTGAGCTCAAAGAYGCTCTCAATTCTAAGATACTCTGAGCTTGAWGAGCTCAGTTGGGTGTCTGGTGAAKRAAGWAGCTGTTYGGGGTGTAATACTGAGCAGAAGCAGCAGTTACAGTCACAAGTGTGGCTGAGATTACACTTAGCAAACATTGTTTGTGGCTTGGACCTCCAGTTTCCTCTCATTAAAGACTTGTTGGCACTTAGAGAAAGCTGGATGGAGTGGCAGAATTTCCCCAGCACAAATGCAATCCTTAAAAACACAAATTTGGTCTGGGAAAACCCAGTGGGCCGTAGGGCTTGAACACTGGTGTGGCCACTTTTGGCAAGACTGTGCTGGCACAGTGTTAAGGGCTGTGATTTACKCCCCGTGTGCAGTTCCAGTAAAGTGCATGGAATGAGCCAACCTTTGCCTCCTGCAGCAGAGCTCTGGTGGGAGAGGAGGCATTCACAGAACTGATTTTTTTTTTTTTCCTATAGACTCACTGCTATTAGTGCTTTTAGCCTCTGCAGGCTGTCAGAGCCTGGGGAGAATGGCCTGACRGTAAGACTGAAGATGAGTTCTCTGCACTTTGCTGGGAGGAGGTCCCTGAGCTGGTTGCCAGCAGTGGGCTTGGATAAACAGGGTGTTGGTGTGTGGTGCTCAGCAGGATTCCAAAGAACTTGAAGCCACAGCAGTGCCAACATCACTGCTGGTGCCCTGCAGTGCAATAGCCATTCCCAAAGCCTTTGCTATCCATGTAAACTAGACCATTCCTCACCCACCCTGGGTTAGTGTGGATTTAGTAACGTGCCTGAAAAATGCACTCTTTTATCCCTTTTGGTCAGGTGAGAGGATCCTGGGCTATGCAGAGGAGCCTTGCTACCTGTGGTTCGTCATGGAGTTCTGCGAAGGGGGAGACCTCAACCAGTACGTGCTGTCCCGAAGGCCTGACCCRGCCACCAACAAGAGCTTCATGCTGCAGCTGACCAGCGCCATTGCCTTCCTGCACAAGAACCACATTGTCCACCGGGACCTGAAACCAGACAACATCCTGATAACTGAGAAATCTGGCACCCCTGTGCTCAARGTGGCCGACTTCGGGCTGAGCAAGGTCTGCGCTGGCCTGACCGCTCGGGGCAAGGAGGGTGCGCACGAGAACAAAAATGTGAATGTGAACAAGTACTGGCTGTCCTCGGCCTGTGGCTCTGATTTCTACATGGCCCCCGAGGTCTGGGAGGGACACTACACTGCCAAGGCTGACATCTTTGCCCTCGGCATCATCATCTGGGCCATGATTGAGAGGATCACTTTCATTGATGCCGAGACCAAAAAGGAGCTGCTGGGGACTTACATCAAGCAGGGGACCGAGATTGTGCCCGTGGGGGAAGCGCTGCTAGAAAACCCAAAGATGGAGCTGCACATCCCTCAGAAACGCAGGACTTCCATGTCTGAGGGGATCAAGCAGCTCTTGAAAGACATGTTGGCTGCTAACCCGCAGGATCGACCTGATGCCTTTGAGCTTGAAACCAGAATGGACCAGGTTACATGTGCTGCTTAAATTCAGGGCAGGGCACTGCTGTGCTTTGCAGCTGGGTAAGTGATTCGCACTTTTTATCTTATTTCTATCGGCTCTACTGGCCCAATAGTGCCCTTTGTAGWGACACAAAGGAGTCTCTTATGTTCCTAGAGCTATTTCTATAGTGACTCATCAGAGCACTGCTTCTGAGGTTGTTTTCACCTATTCTACTGCAAAAATAAAGTAGAGGTGAGAAATAGAATCAGCAGCTGTACATCCTGTCACTGCCCCAGGGCCAAGTTGAGCTAGAAGGGCTGGGCATGGAGCCTTGCTCCTCAGAAGTCCTGGYCACTGGCTGAGACAGGCTGGGCACAGCAGAGAGACTGGTGAACACTTGGTATAAGCTTTGGGGACATCTGTCTCTCTCAGAGGCAGGGAGGGATCTGCCAGTTCTGCCTCTTCTGCTGTGTGATATAATTTCTGTGCTGGGAGCAGCTCCCTGTCTAGCACCATCCCCCTCCCCTGCGACACTTGGAGAGGGCATCTCRGGGCTTGGCTGGCTCAGTGAGCAAGCACCAAGTGGCACATCTGTCTTGGCACAAAACTGTTTCCTTTCACCTATGAAGCACATGGGTCCATCTTGTGGCTTTGTTTCATTTCCCTATTAAAGGCAGGACTTCCCTTTGGTGTTGACATCAGTGGCCCAAACCCAGGAGATASTTTGGTCTCCAGCATCTGTGTTTGTAGACCTGTGTCTACTCAGGAAGGAAGCTAAAAAAAGGCTCTGCTCAGACTGAGCTCAGCTCTGTTCAAGTAAGGTCCTCTCCCTTCTCCCCCACCACTAATCAGAGTTTCTGATCCAGAGGCTGGGTGGTCACACACACGGTCTGGTAGGACCCCCAGGGGCAGGGGGTAGCTGGCAGTGTCACTAACCAGTGACACGGAAGGACTGGGAGGTGTTGTCTACATGGCAAAGCTGTCTGTAAACAGGAGCTGTTACTAAGGATTCTCCTGGCCAAACATTTCAATGAAACTGAAGAATGGCAGATTACCAGGGGTGAGGCTGACGTCTTCCCAACCCACGTCCTTTCTCAGGCAGAGCTCCCTGCCCATCGCTGGTCCCAGGAGATCTCTGACAGCCTGCCTGGGTTACAGGATGGCATCACAGCTTGGGCCCACAGACCTCACCTCACCCCAAAACCACACAGAGCTAGCTGGRCCAAAGCTGACGATGACTGCAAGAGGGCAAAGAGGGAGGAAATTATTTCCCTGGCCAGAGCTCACGAGCCCTCAGCTGATGGCTGTGTGCCTGGCCAGCTTGGAGAGCGAGCCTCCAGCAGCAGGGTGGTGGGGATGGTGGGGGTATTTTGACAGGTTTTGCCAAAAACCCTCTTTGCTGCCAATAGGGTTCCTGGGCTTATGGAAAACAATGTGCTGCCTATCCCCCCTCTCAGTGCTCAGGTATGCTCTGTGCTGTATGTAGAGAAATAGGGATATGGAAATTAAATACCCATATAGATGGGTCTTGTTCTGTCTCTGTTGGTTTGTCCAAACTGGTCCACAGACCCTTCCCTCTGCACTCTTACACATGCAGAGTATTTAACACCCATCGAGAGTATTTAACACCCATCGCAGGTGCAAGTAACTGATTCAAACACTGCTGCCTGGGGCTGGATACAGGTCCTAGTGCAAGAGCTGACTGGGGATTAGGGTGGGGGAGTGAATCTGTGGAAATGTGAGCCCTTATGATGGGTGTGCTCCAGCCCTGGGGCAAGAGCAGACACCCTGCCTTGTGCCCCTGGGCAAGGCGTGGGGCTGTGAGAGCAGCTCTGCCACACGTGGAGGGTCAGGCCAGGCTGTGCCATCTGCGCTGGCTCTGTGCTGACATGATGCTGCTGCGTTATGCAACCAGCCCCTGCCCTCGGGGGAAAATTCATCCTGCGCAGATCTGCGGAATAGTACATGAAGGGATAACAAACACCGAGGGGACAGTCCTACCCCGCGGCTGTTTGCTCAAACCCAGCTGCCTTCTGCAGCCCCCCCTCCATCCGTGAGTCTGCACCGATCGCTCCGTCGTGACACAGCTGCAGCAGCCAGGGATGCTCTTACATAACCCAACCTGGCACATGGAGCGTGGTCGCATGGCCCACATAGAGCCCAGCACCAGACATATGCTCCTGCAAACCCAGAGTATTCCTCTGCCTCACTCGTGGGCCAGCAGAATATTTGGTGGGCTTTGCTCTCTGGTTTTCCCAGTGTAGCTGTGCATTCAAATCAGCCTCCTTCTGGCTGCTATTAAATGCAAATCTTAAATTGGAAACCTGCTTGAGAAGCTTAAAATGGGATTTAGAGCAGGACCTGAATTCTGCTCTCAGGTAATTTTAGTTGACCGAGAAACTCACGTAACCTCTTCCAACTTATCTGTGGCACTGGTGTGTAGCTTTGCTGTGCTGGGTCATGCAGTGGGTTCTTCCCCTGGTCAGTTCAGACCTGCTCAGCCTTGGTTCATGTCATAACCTGGAAAACTGTAACCTTCCCTGACCCAGGGAATTGGATTTTGCTTATTCTTTGCCATGCCACTGACCTCTTCAGATTTCGCTTTGTTTCTCAGCAGCTTCACCTTTAGTTCTGCAYGGATGCTACATGCACCTGACAGCTCCATGCTTTGTTACCCTTCCAAAATGCAGATAGGAAATGTCAGTTCTCAGTCAGGAAGGTGTTTTTGGCTTTGTTTATGCTGAGCACCGGGGTGCCTGAGGTGGAGATGACTTGTTATCACCCTGCTCTTCCCACTGTTGGTGTCCCCAGGGAAATAGTTTCAGCAGAGATGGGCAGCATTTCCCTGGGAGAAACCAAAGAATTCTCTTTTTAATTTGAACACTGCTTCTCTACCTTTTGCAAATGTTTTGATAAAGCCAAGTTTATCTACAGCTTTCTAGAATTGTTGCAAAAGCTGACTTTTGGGCAAAGAGGACAAAAACCTTTCTAATACAATTAGGGAATGGCTGGGTTGTGCTAGGTACCTGCTGATGGGTCTCTGTGTGATAGCCCAGCACTGACTGCAGTGTATTTCACCCCTTCTTTCCCCGTGCTAGAAAGCTGGGACAGCTCTCCTTTGGTACAGTGTGAACATCTTGGGTTTTCCTGTTGCTTTTGTAGTTGCCCTCTAGATTCCCTGGAGCTGATAAGGGGCCTCCCGGAGATGCTGCTTCAGTGGGATCCCGTGATGGGGTGGGTTTGTGCAACCCTTACCGWGCTGCAGAGGAACAAGGTACAGTGGCAGTGAGGTCTTTTGCTGCTGACTGCAGCGACACAGAGACCTTGGCCACTGGTCACAGAAAGACAAGGGGCGAGTACAGCATCACCCACAACTGACAGTTATGTGTTTTAGAAACTTTGGAGTTTTGATTCACACAAGACATCAAACTACAATGGTTGTGATCAGTGTAGAAGGCAGCTTGTTCTGGTAGATTATATTCAGTGCTATTTGCACTGTGGATAAAACACTTAGTTTGATTTTGGGGTGGATGCTCAAGATGAGCAGTGCAGGCTGCAGCATCTCAGGGGCTGCCATCAGCAGGAAGGTGTTCAATAGCTGTGGCCAACCTGGCTCTCTCCAGCATTCCCCTGTCTCTGGGCTTGATTATTCCAGTTTCAGCTGAAAGAGGCTGTTTGCATTTGCATTGTTCTGCTCTTTGCATTTCTGACGTGTACCAGGAGCTGATGCTGAACAAGCTCATCTGCTCTGCCTGCATGAGGGTGTCTGCCCTGGCCAGAGCTCTCTGGTGCTGTGCCCAGCCACTCCCAGCACTGCTGATAAACTGCTGCCCTGTGGAATTTCAGAGTTAGAGGACAGACAGGGATCAGGGGCACAGCAGCAGCTCTGAGAGCTCTCATTGAACAGGGGCTGCTGCATCAAGTTAGATCTTGTCTGTTAGTATCACTTAGCTCAAGTTTTACTCACTGGCCAGTTAAATGACAGCAATTTCATTCCTAAAACAATGTTGGTTTTGACTTTGGACTGCTTTCAGTGTGGTTTGTGGATCTTGGCATGAASAAAAGCCACAGGACACTAAAAACAGGGTCAGCTCCCCTTCTCAGCCATAACAGTGAATGCAGCATCACAGGGTCCACCCCACAGAGTAGTGACCCCCTCCCGGCCAGTGTTGATTTTGCTTAGGGTGAAAGGAAGCCCTGAGGGTGAACTGGACTGTGTCACCTCTGGCCAGTTGTATTAGTGTTCGTGTTTGCTCACTGTCCACCCCTGCTTTGGCTTCTGAGGGAGGTCGCTGCAGTAGGATTTAAGGATGTACCCAAGGGATGCATCACAAGTATAGGTACAAAGGATGAGGAAAGRTTTGGGAGATAAATCAGGCAGTCAGCCCTGTTCCCTTCCCTTGCACTCTGTGTTCCCACACAGGGGCAGATGACATGATTAACATGAGGAGGTGATGGGTTATCTCTCCCTCCTCTGCACTGAATCCTCTCTGCTGTGCAGACCCCACTGCTGTCACCCCTCTGTGTGACCCACACATTGGTGTCATCTTACTCCATGGGCTGCTGSTTTACATCCTGCTGATGCCGAGTGAACATTCGAGCTGATTAAAACTATAAGTGGCATCAGTGGAGGGATTAAAAGCTCTTGAACAAGCCCCTGCAACAACGTGCGTCAGTGGGGTGAGCTCTCCTGTCTCAGAGCAGTGAGCTCAGGGCTGCTCAAGCAAGTGCCTTYCCTGAACATGCTCCTACTCCAGGGAAGCACAAACAGAAATACTGCCCTACTTGCTAACGAAGCTGCATAATAGGAGAAATCTTCCAGAAAAATCCTTGTGTGTTTGTCCTGACGTGATGTCTGTGTGCCTCTCGCCTTCTCAAACAGAGAAGGAAGGCWTTATTCTAATGGCAGCCTGCAAAAGTGGCATCCCTTGGTTAACCTCTCCTGCAAAGTAACGTGCCCACAACCCTGCCTTCTGCTCTGAGCAGCCTAGTCCTTTAGAAATGTGTTCCTCAGGCAGGGATTTCTTTAATGAGATTTCCTAAGGCTAAGGGATTGAAGTAATTTGCTGGGCAGTGGCATTTTTTCTGCTGTGGGTCTTTCCCACTGCTCCCTTGGTGTCTYTGCAGAATCCCTCACCCATTCCTGGGGAAGCTAAATCCAGCTCCTAAATTATTTTCCTTATAACTCTCTTGAGTTTAGAGCTCATGGACCCCCTCACTGCTTTGCACCCTCACAACTGCTGCCCTTGGCTCTGCAGGTGCCTCCTTGAGTTTGGGACATCCTGAAGGATGGATTTTCAGTACAGAAGTGACATCAYGTGCACATGTGCTGTTCTTCTGCTGTTCACAGGGAATTTTCTGGGGTTGCAAACAAATTGTGTGGAAAAYGCTCGTGGCTTATGTGCAGAATTGAGCATTCCTGTGCTCAGAGGACGGGAGGGTGCCAGGGCTGTGGATGAATGAGTGAGTGCAGCACCCCTGCTGCTACAGGGACCATGGGGGTTGTTGTGTGTTGAGGCTTTGGCCAAAGCAGGGATTGGTGCAGCAAATACCTGCCTGTTCTACCCTAAAATTCCTGGCACTGAGCATCCTTGTGGGCTGAGCTGTGAGCCTATCCTGCTCTGCTTTCAGTTGCACCAAGCTGGATTTTGCCCACCTCTTGCAGAGCCACTTGCAATGCTGACGCAGTGGGTGAGTGGTATAGGGCATCTCCGGGATCGCAGTTTGTTCCACCTCTCCCGGTGGAGAACAGGGAGCCAGCRCTCACAGACACATCACGTGGACTCTCAAGGCCAGGCTCTGCCGTGGGAACACTTGTCCTTGTTCCAGCAGGACTGTCRCTGCGGGGAGCCCTGTGGGATGGGGCTGTGTTGTGGGGGTGTGGAGATATGCTCAGCCCCCAGCCTGGGGCAGCTGGATGTGTGCTGTCCTTGGCACTGTGCTCCACGCACTGCTGAGTCCCTCTGTGAAAAAAAACTGACTGTAAACTGAGCCCAGCTTCTGTCTGGATCAATAGTAAAAGCACTGGGCAATAGAGAGATGTGGCAGCACCCGTTTTGGACTAATTGGGATAAATGGGCAAGCAGTGGGAGTGGTGTCCTACACCCCTTCCCTCCAGCAGCCAATGCCTGGAGTCATAATGTRGTAACTGGGACAAATCACCACCAAACCTGACCTCTGTTTCTCCTCTCTTGTTTTCTCTTGCAGGTTTATTTACCAGGGACCCATAATCTCCATTATTTACGTGCAACAAGGAAGTCGAAGATAAGGGAAGACGATGATACAGAAGATCCCCGATCTGCAGGATCTTGGGCAATGTGAAATCTTTGGGTGTTACTTTTTTGTGTTAGGAAGGGGTGTTGTGGGGGTGTGGGAGGGGGCTGCAGGGGCCTGTGRAAGAACACAAGCTGGCAGCTGTCAYGCTCATGAGACTTTGAAACAACATCCAGAGAGCAGAGCTGCCCTTGCCCAGCCCTCCCCATGTCTCCTGTGCTGCCGTTTGACTCAGTAGATGTTTCTAGAGATGTGGTTCCATAAGGTGGGAATCAGCAGCCTGATGGTGAGGTGTGCTGCCAGGTTCCAGTTCTGAGTTCAGTTTGGCACAGTTTTGGGTTCAAAGCTATTGATTTTGCCTAGGGAAGCAAAGTGGTGGCTAGGTTTGCATCAGGAGTGCAGTGCTTTAGGAAAAACGAATCTCTTGGACCACATGTTGCATAAATAACTTCATAGCCAAGCAGCTCCTGAATAGGTGGTGCTGCCCAGGCTGTGAGCAGTTGGCATTAGGATAGAGTAGGAGAAACAAGCTGGAAAGCCATTTGGCAAAGCAGGTCTTCCCAAGCTGGATTTCAGTATCATCTTTGTTATTGTCTTTCTATACAGAGGGAACTGGGAAGCTGCTGAGTACATTTTCWGATCAACATCATCTGAGTACAAGAGAAAAACAGAAAACAGTCCATGGCTCTGATCCATTTTATGCCAAATGTCAGTTGATAGGAACAATGCTGTAGAGAGAAGGAGGTTTGGCCTTAATGGCTCATGGGCTGGATTCTAGCCTCCCACAGGACACTTTTCCCTTCTAGCTRATGATCTCCAGGAAGCAAAAGGCAATGCTGCTGTTCAGGGTGGGTTACAATACAACACAGGAGATTGGAACCTCAGGCTGAGCAGTTAATACTCTATTTCCTTGCTTATATTTAAAGCAAAACTCCTATTGTGGGGCTGCCCTGTGTTGATGATCTTTTGACTTTGCTCACTGTAAATGCAATGTAAAGCACCACCTCTTCTCACCCTGCAGCTTCTGAACCACCTTGAACGTTTTCTCAGCAGGTGAAATCAGCCAGCAGTGGTTTGGGAAATGGGCTGGTCTGACCCAGCATCACTCCAGAGCTGCTGGGATGCTCAGTCTGGAGCTGGCCATAGCCACRGGCAGGAGAGGGTGCCCTTGTTCCTGGGTATGGGGATTGCTSCTTGCCTGCAGTTTTCCTCTGCCATCACTGGAAAGGTTCCTAACTTGCAGCAGCTCCATGTATCTCATGTATCTATTTTGCTGACCACACAGGAATGACTAGAAATGGAGGAAATTCAGGTGGGCTGGGGAGAGCTAGAACAGGAAAAGGATGGAGGGGCTTCTTTCTACTTTTCCAGGACACAAAGCTGAAGCTGTGGCTGCAGGAAGGCCTGGTCCTCTCAGGAGGACCAGGAGGCTTTAGACCAGCTGTCTGTGACTTGTGAAGGTTTGGACAGCACAAATGCAGCACCAAGCCCTTGTTTTCACACTACTCTTGTCTTTGTCCCTAGGGATGCTTCTGTGGGCTGCAGCTGGGTGGGATTCCTGCAGCTTCCTGTGCTGCATCCCACAGGAAAGGGAGAGTGAACCCTGTAGCTCACAAGTGCAGTGTTAGTGCCCTGATCATTGGACCATCCTTCCTCCACCTGGCAGAGCCTTTGCTCCTGACTGTTACAGCTGTTCTAACTGAACCCTGGCCTGAATGAGTGGAGTAAGAGGGCTTTGTCCTCCCAGCCCTGGWTTTCCCTGCTGGAAAGGCACTTCAGCAGGCATCACTTTGCAGTTGAAGGGAGCTTCCTAGCAGGAGGAATACCAAGTCTGATAGGCAGGAGGTGAAGCTGGAAGGTAGTGAGTGGGTTGTTCTGCTCCTCTCGAGACAGGAGCAAGTCCAGCAGGCCCTGGGAGGGTCAGCCCTCTTGGTCCAGTGGTGTTTCAGGCCATCTTCAAACCACACGTCTCCACCTCAGCTTTTGCATTGCAGATGTGTTTTTCAAGCAGCTTGATGTTAGTGAGCTAGACCGTAGTGCCTTACTTAGGATTTAGCAAACACTTCCAAGGAGGAGTCCTAAGGCTGCTAGCCTTTGGCCAACGTGGATGTTTCCCTGATTAGTTTGTACTTTTAAAAGCATTTCTCTCTGATGATTTTGCTGCTGTTTGTGCTCAACTCCCCAGACTATACAGGAACCTGCCTCGTGTTTACAGCTCCCCACATCTCTCCTCCAGTTACTTTGGTCTAGACCAGCACTCCCTGTAGAACAAGATGGGAACGGGGAACAGCTCAAACCTGCATATGCTGTGGGATGGAGAATGTGTAGGCTTCTCTTCCCAGGTGGGTCTATTGGGCCTCACCTGCCCAGCTCCTGCAGGCCAGACTTCCTCTGCTGTGGATGTTTGGCACTAGGATGTGCYGCTGGGAAAATCCAAGCTTAAGAAAGCGGCACCAAGCCTGTGGCCCATTTCCCAGCCCAGGGCCACACTGTCTCTGTCTTTTCCTGGCTGCAGTGAAGCTGAGCATCCAGGTGCTGGAGGTAGCTGGTTAGTGTGGGGGGAGCCAAGCCCTCCTTGCAGAACTCTCCAGGCTCACGTGGCCCCAGATGGTGCCCATGCCAGGGGAACGATTGTATGAAACTGTTTACTTCTGATTTTGCTGTTTACAAGAGGGATGTGGGGTGGGTGGGGGGAACAAGCCAAGCCTCAGGAGGATTGGGAAACGTGTTATCTGCACCAGCCTGCAGCAAGGCCAACACCACCGGCATCATGCAGGTGTCACGGGGATCTCCCGGCCAGCTTTGGTCCATGGGGAGGAAAGCAGAGGTGGCTCTAGCCTAGAGGGGTTAGATTAGCTCCCCTATGTCCCCTTGCTGCTGTGTTTGAGGTTCAGCAGTGCTAGTGACAGATAAGAGTTACCCCTGTGGTCTTCCTTTACTCCTCAGGACCCAGCTCCTTCACATATCACAGGCTCCCAGAGCCTTTTTGGAGCAATAAGATGTAAAACAAGCATTACCATCGTTGTGGAAATCCTCCGTTGTGTGCAGTGTCTGTCTCCTCCATATGCAGTACGAGTCTGGGTTTAAGCCTGCCAAGGTCACAGGGCAGCTGCTTCAGGGCACAAACTGGGATTYGTTTCCCTGGGCTTTCTGCAGGTCAGGAGAACAGGGAAACGCTGCTGCTTTCCTTCCTTACCCCAGGCCTGTGCTGCCCAAGCCTCACACTACAGCTGGCCGGGGCAAGGGTGCTCCTGGTCCCCTTTTTGGTGATGCTGGCAGGGGATGGGTGTGTGGGGCTCAGCACCGTGCTCCACTCCTCACAGCCCCCATCCCATCAGCCAGGGCAGCACTGGGAAAGCAGAGCCCCCGTTCCCTTGGCACTGGGACACAGATGATGCTTGTGCCACTGGCGTGGGAAGAGTGCCAGTGGCTCCTGTGCTCCTTAGCTGGTTACAGGCACATCCCAGCGTGTGGCCCTTCATGTCCAGGCACATTTCACACTTCACAGCAGGGTGTCTGGGKTGGTGGGTGTAGCTGGAAGTGCAGGGAGCTGCTCTCTTCCAGCTGTGATCTGCCAGATCATTTCTCTGCAGCCTGCCCAAATGCTTTTAGCCCTGAGAGTGTGTCTAGGCTGCTGGAAGAGCTCACAGGGGCCACATGGGAGTGCCTGGTGTCCCATCCTGGTTCCTGTTCCCTTCACAGCAGCTGCCCAGTCCAGCACAGGCCTCCAGCTCGCTCACCCAGTAGAACACGGCAGCTTTGCAGGGTGAGCTGCTTTGCTACCACACCACCGGGGTGCTGGRTGAGCCCCAGGACAGGGGCACCCTGCCCCAGCCCTGCTGTGGGCTCACCTTGCTCCCACAGCCCCTGTGCTGAGCTAGCAAGAGCAGAAGGCTTAAACCCAGACTCTAAATAAAGATAATATTAGTTAATGAATCTGTATTTTTTTTTTGCACAGAAGCTGGTAATCTAGGACCTACATGTGAACAACTTTATATAAGTATTTTTTGTACTTGGTTTACTTGGGTTGRTATGAAACGTTCTATTTAAGTTCTTTGAACACTGTGGATCCCCTGATGTGTATGAATGGCAGAGGCTTTGTAAATTAAGGGACGTTTGTGTGAATAAAGCTATTTGATGGGGTTGAAAAGCCACACACAACTTTAAACGTGAGCTCTGTGTCTTTGTCTTCGGCTCTGCTGGCAGCAGTGGGGTTGGAAGGGTGTCCTTGGCAGACCAAGTGTGCAGACCAAGGCCCAAAAGTACCTCTGGCTCCATCCTGGAGGGCAGGTCTGGCTAAGCCTGAGCTGGAGCTGGGCTAGCTGTACTGACCTCAGGGCTTAGGGCACTAAACCAAGGCACCCTGGCCAGTGCCAACCTGAATGTGGCTCCCTAGCATGTGGCACTTGTGGCCCTTTATCCTTGCCCTGGATTAGGATTAGCCCTGTTCTTGATGCAGACACCAAGCAGGCCATGGTGATTAGTGGGACAGGCAGGCTCTGTCTCTGCCTGCACAGAATMACCTCCCTATYRTGCCCCTGCCCTCTGTCCTGCCCCTTCCTCCCCATCTTGCCACATCCCTGGTGGCCCCATGGTTCAGGAGCCAGAGAGRACAAGCAGCCCCTCACCCAGCTGCCCACTCTGGAGGTGGCTGCAAACCCCACAAGRAAAATGCCCAGCAGAACTGCCACTATAGCAGCCACAAACAATTTCTCCCTTTGCACARATCCTCTGCCCCAAATCCCAGATGACCAAGCTGGTCACAGCAGCTGGGCCCCCCATACCACAACTGCCATCCGTGATGGGAAAAGCACGACAAGGCTGAGCTACATCCTGCAGCCACGAGAATGGGTGATGTCCACAGGTGCCCAGCAGCTTGGGGCCACTCGTGCCGGCGTGGGACACGGGATGTCCCGGCACCCGGGGCCGTGCTCCGCCCTTTGCCAGCCCTTGCGTAACGGCCCCGCAGCCTCGCACGACCCGCGGAGCCGCAGCGCCCGCGCTGGGACGTGCTGGGCAGCCAGTCCTCCRCTCCTGCTCCCCCTGCGGCACCGCCGGCCGCCTGGCCGTGGGCTCCCCCCGCACCGCCGTCAGCATTGTGCTCCTTAATCGCTGCCGACAGGCACCTAAAATGGATGTTTTCAGCCCAGTGGGGCCGCAGGGAGGCTGCTCGACCAGAGCCGGAGCGATGTCGAGGGGCCAGAGCAGCCCCACTCACCGGCTGGCAAGGGGGACCCAAGCTGTGTTTCCTTCCCCTTCCTGCTGGGTTATCGCAGACATTGACTGCACAGCACCCACTGTGAGGGGCAGCCCGGGGTGTTTAAACATCTCCCCCAGTGCTGCCCAGAGCATCCTGCCTGCAGGCAGGGAAGGGACTGCATCGGCTCCAGTCACACTGGCCCCCAGTGCAGGACAAACCCCAAGACTGTTCCTGTCCTGCAGAGATTGGCTGTSCTACACTGCTGACCCCCACCAAATACAGTCACCCCCAAAATCTGTCACAAATGCTACTGCACCTCCAAGAACACTTCTGCTCTTGTCACTTCCCCCTGGTTTCATMTACACCAGTGAAAAGGATCGTGTTGTCTCCAGGCCCATGGCATCTCGCTCTTCTCTGTGAACAGACACAAAATGTGCTCTGTGGTCCCCCATAGCCCCTGGCCCCAGCTCAGCTCTTGCAAATGGGGGAAACTGTACCCCTGCAGGAGCATGGGGTGGGAGCCCTGCACACCTCACGTGTGCTGCAGGTAAGAAGCCAATAAGGGCAGGTGACCACACAGCACAGCCGAAAAGCACCATTAATGAGAGAAGCTGATGTCAGTCACCAGGAGAGATGTTTCACTCAGGATTTGCTCCCCGGAGACCTGCTATTTCACATGCAAAGAGGTTTGCTGAACTCCACAAAGGCACTTCAAGCACTTCAAGCTGACAGAATACCTCAGCAGCCCCACCTGCCCTGTGGTCCCTGGGGACCAGGACTGGAGCACGGCAGAGCTGCACATGGTAAAGGCCATGGCCAGGCAGCAGGGCCAGGGTGGGAAAGGCAAGGACAGCCCYGGCAGCCACCATGGCCATGAGGCCCATCACAGTCCCGAGTGCCAGCACCAGCCTCACCTGGAGRGATTGAACCTCAGAGCAGAGGTGAGGTGCTGCAGCCATGGCTTTGCTCTTCCTCTCTGCTTGCACACAGAATCATTTTCAAGAGCCTCCTCTCCACGGAGGCTGAAGCACTAAGTCATTCATCACAAAATCTAAGTCCATATTTCTTTTAAGATCTCTTGAGCTCCTCAAGCAGCAGCCACTTCAGCAGCCCTCTGTGGGCCAGAGCRACACCAGCTGCTGCTTGAGCTGGTGGGAGGAGAGCAAGGTCCATTCTATCGGCACAGGACATTCATTTGCCTCATCCCCGCACTGATGAATTGCTCCACTTGCCCGTGTCAGGCTCCAGCACAGCAGAGGATGAACAGCTAAAGCAGCACTAAGCCCACACACTCCATTGAGCTGGGAGATGACTCAGTCAAGGCTCTCYGTGCAGGCGGAGGTGACAATGAACACAAGGGACAAAAGCCGAGAGAGCAGGGGCTCTGCTCTTCCCACTGACCACTATGAGGCAGAAGTCTGGACCCTCCTCGCCTTCTGTCCCCGGCTCAGTGGGGACAGTCAGAGGGGTCCTTGGACAGCCCAGCCCCAGTGCTTTGCCACACAGCACACAAGGCCATGCATGGTACCAGGCTTAAATACCTTTTATCCCATTGCACACATTATCCCAACAGCTCTCCAGCTCAGACAGAAGCAGTGCAGCCCCCGGTGTGTGCGGGATGGCTGGGGCCTCCCCGTCCCTCCTTCCCCAGAACCTGCCCAGGGGAACCAGGGGATGGAGCAGGGGGAGCTGTATCGACCAAACCACCTCCTGATTCCACCCAAGGCTTCAGAAAATGTAATTTTTGCCTGCAATCTGTCTCGAATGCAGGATGCAATCTGCCCACCCCACGCACACCCCACCTGCCTCTCCCCACAATAGGGACTGCGCGTGGCAGCAGCAGCAGCTTCACCCAGAGCCACTTCGGGTCAGTCTCTGTTCCGTGAACAAAAGCTGCTTCCCCAGCTCATTTCCTGACCAAACTGATGGCCTGTGCTCCCCCTAGGGACCCAGCACTYGCTAGGAAAGAGCAAAGGAGGGAATTAAGAACTATTTCCTCTGTCAGTGATAAGATCTCTAAACAAGCTTCTCAGCCAAGAACTTAATTTTTTTTTAATTTTATTTTATAGGTTTTGCAAGGAAATTTTGTTCTCCAGAATTGCATCCGCCTCCAACCCTACTTAGAGCTGCCAAAGCCTGCACTTCCCCCGGGACCAGCCTGCAAGCAGCAGAGATGGATGGGATGACACGGGCATGACTTCACCCTTCTGTCCTGGGAGCTGCCAGGATTCCCAGAGGATCCCTGCTTTGGCCTCGTGCTGCAGCCCCAGCAGCCCCTCTGGATCACCCCCATCAGATGACAGCCATGAGATCATGGGGTGCCAAAGCCCCTGCCCCATCCCTGGGGCTGGATGAAACCCCAGGGAGAGCATCCCTCAAAGCAGCAGCAAAGCCCAACATCACTCCAGGCTTTGACTCTCCCTCCGCACAAATCCAGCCCTACAGTCGCTCCTGTTTAACCCAGGAAGTGTCTGGTCTTATGAAAGATGCTCGTGCCCCCTCTGAAAACCCTTCTGGGAATCGGTGAGGGCACTAAAATGGCTGTGCAGGGTTCAGCTCCCCTTCTCCACAAACCCAAGCAGGTCGTTATCTTCTGTGAGCTTCAATCTCCACTTGTGACACAGACACGTCCCAGTCCTGGCCCTGTGTCTGGGGAACACAAGCAAATGTTCCTCAAACCACTGTAGTCTTCAAGAAATAAAAGCCTGTGCTTTGCTCCTGCCCTGGGGGTTTGCAGCCCCCCTTGCTTGGAGGCTGTTGTGGGATCAAACACTTCAGGCTGATTTATCCACTGGAGATGGAAGCCCAGACAGATGGGAGGGAGCACGAGCCCAGCTGGGTGATAAATCACAGCAGGGCAGCTTTGCCTGCCTTGCTCTGCGGCTGTGCCGGTCACCGCGTTCCCAGCGGGATCGATGCTCCAGCCCTGGGCTGTGTCCATGTCCCGTATCCTGGGGAGGGCACACATCCAGCTCCCCAGGCAATGTCCCGTATCCCGGGGAGGGCACACATCCAGCTCCCCAGGCAATGTCCCGTATCCCAGGGAGGGCACACATCCAGCTCCCCAGGCACACTGCACCCCGGCATTATCCTGGCTGTGCTCCCTGCCAGGCACAGCCCAAAGCAGGGACCCACCCCAGGTGGTGACCAGCAAACAAAGGTGCACACTMAGCAAGTTTGCTCTAACACATCCAAGGAAACGTGACCCTGTTGGGAAGTTTCCTGGAAAAAYGGGGAAGCACACTCTCTGCTGTATGGGCCTGCCAGCAAGGATTGTCTTGTGGGATCTGGGACAGGGCAAGCTGCCTTGAACTTGTGCTCAAGGGCATCTGTCTTGCAAAGMTCAGCACAGCACAAGGAGATCGGAACGGGCTTTTGATGAGCTTCCAGCAAGATAAAGGAGCTTCCCTGACCCTGCTCCATCTCCCTGAGCGAGATCATCAATAAACCAGCTCTGCTGCAGCCTGCGGCTCAGATGGCTGTCAACTCTCCTGTCCACATGTGTCGGGTGCTTAAATTAATGCCACCTCTGGAGAAAGGAGGGGTGCCCGGCCCAGGGGTCCCCTTTGGTGCCAAAACCTGTCCATGCTGTCCATCAGCAGGGGAGGAAAGAGAAGCCTAACTGGCAACTACTCCGGAGGAAATGTAACAGATTGCGGGGCTGGGCTCAAACCAAGGAAGATTTTCGCCCCAAACAAACCTCCAAACCCCCAAATATATTGAGCTGCTCTGCAAACAGCCTCTACAAACTCTGGCAGATCCAGGTTTGGGGCTCCCTCCTCGGGTGCCATTAGTRAGTGTAATGAGCTGGAGATAATTGCTGCCTCGGGGACACAATTAACTCTTTCCTGCCCTGGTCCAGCTGGGGCATTTCCATCCCATGAGAGCAATTCCCTCCCTCCTTCCCCCGGGCTCCTTAGAAAACTTCCATTCCTCTTCCTTCTCAAAGT